TGCGGGGGGAACTGCGCAAAAAACGCATCCTCGTACCGGCAGCCGGTACGCTTTCTACTAGGTTGAACTCAGTTTAGAGCAACTGAGAATTTAAGCATTTTTACAATTGTGCAGAGACAGAAACGAACAATGCGACCTCACGTGTATTTCCGAACAGGTATTGCACGTGTGTGTATAACGTAGGTGTCTGTTTTTGTGTGTGCGTGTTTTTGTACGTGTGTGTGTTTTTGTGTGTTTGTTTGTCTGTGTGTTTATATGTGCAATGTATGCATGTGTTGTATGCGTGTGCCTGTGTTTGTTTCCTCCAAAGTTTTCCAAACTACCGTATGCTCCGTAATTACTACAGCATTCAGTTATGAAGAACTGAAGGAGATAGAGATTGAGAGGGCCGGCGGAGGGAAAAGGGATAAAAAATCGCATGTGCGCTACAAATTTCTAGCGTTTTTATTGCTATTTTATTGCTAAGCAGTGCAATTAATTCACTCGCAGACTTTCCTTTTGATAGTGCAGTTTTTTGTCGCGCTTTAGTAATCAGTAATAAAGAATCAATAATTTTTTTTGAACGCTCTCATTTGAGAGCTTTTTTTGGTACTTTATGTGGACGATCTGGAAAACTGTTCAGCAGACATCATTCATTTTTACACAGAGGATTTGTTACAAAGTTGCTGAAGTTTCCAGACTAGTCTATTTAATTAATCAGTAGCGGTGGTCCTTTGTAGAGTGCTCTTTTTTCTGGAACGAAGACTTGAGAAATACTGAAGACTAATCTTTGTAAGCTTCAAAGATTTCGCACCAACTGTCCGCCTCCTATAATTTTTATCAAATAATATTCCTCAGATTTTTATAATTTTTCTCTTTTAGAATTTTTCGCCAGATTTTCTTTATGCTTTCATGCTTTCATATTTAATTAGTAATAAAATTTCCATTTTGCTGGAAAAACTTAAGTGATTTTATATCATTTTAAAATTAGCGTCTCAATCACATTTAATGCATTCAGCATTTGCAGTTCTGGTCCGGTTCAGAGTTAGCAAAAGATTTTGTGGATGCACTTCTGGAAACGAACCCGGAGCTGAGGCTGAGTGCAGCAAGTGCTTTGAAACACGAGTGGTTCGTAGGAACGCGAAATCATCTGAATGTAACTATTAAAGCACGGCCCGCTTCGGACTACTCATCGATGCAAAGGGTAAGCTGTGTATTGACAGTTCTACCGCTCGACTAAATTTCGACTGCCATTAGCTTACTGTGAGCAAATTCTAGAAAAGGAGCCATCGACAGCCCAGAAAGGGTGGTTGCTCTTAGTGTGTGCTACCATTCAGGCTACATCTGAGTGCGCTCACCACTCAAAAAAATTTAATCACTGGCAGTGTTCTCACTTTTGACTTTAAAAAGTATAGCACCCTGTGCAAACTTGGAAGTGAAACTCCGTCTGTGAGACATTGCGTAGCCTAGAAGCATCTAAAAACGACAAAAATGCTTTATAGTAGATGCTTAGTAAAAAGTAAGGTTACTAAAAGAAATGCATGAAATAGAAGAGAGATAGTAATGAAATAACTGAGCACCTGTGGAAGTTAAAAGTCCAGTAGAACAGCTATACCTCGACACTACAACAGCTGTGGCAGTACAAGTACAATATTTCACTGCAGCGGAAACTCACGTGCCAGCAGTCAGCTCATCTGCCTGATAACATCCTGACCAGGCTGCTGCGAATTATTCTTTTGAAACAGTTCGCAATTTCTAGACGAGCTGTAAGCTTATTGCAATCAATCAGCGGGCCTGTCGTGATAGCTAAATTTGTAAGCAGCTAGTGCATACACAGCTAGTGATCTGTGTAATTCGATGCTGCCCGGAACAGAGCCACAAAAAAGTGAAAGAACTGGGGCGCCAGACGACCGATCATCGGCGGCTTTCACTTTCTTGTCGATCCCTACTTGACTGAACATTTCCGGCTGAGGACAGAGCAATATTCATCGTGCCTTTCAAATCCTAAAGAAAATACGGCGTTCTTTGCTGTACGAAATGTGAAATGCATACTGAAAGCTAGAATTTCACAAACAAAGTGGGGGAAAGTGGGAACATCATCGCGAATGTGTACACAAATTAACAGCGCAAAGCTCATGATTGCTTCCTGAGTTAATGAACTGTGAATTACAGGCAAATCTAAAAAAACATAAACTCACTCGGAGTCTAAAATGGGATAAATAGTAGTACGAATCGGAAGCTAGCACGGTTATGGGTTTTTGCGATAAGCTGCTGCAAGCGTTCAGCAGATGAAAACATTAATACAGTTGGGCGCGTGGACTTTTCGACCACTCACTGTTCAAGCATGTTAACAAAACTCGGATTTATCTTTTGCTCTGGTTCTGAATTTATGATCATAGGTCGCATTTTGGTTGGAACTGATATTTAAAAAGGCGATTATGAATCATTCATTTTGCTTAACGCAGTAAACTAAACCCTCGTTGTTTGCCAGACATACCCTTCTCTTTCCCTTCGAAGATTTTTTCCAGAAATAGTTGTTTATCTTTCAGTCAAACCAACTATACATGAGCAAGAAATAAACGGCTGAATATTTTCAGACGCGCTCATCACGGTCTATTCGAAGTGTGACCAGGTCAGATCATGGACATCGCGTGGACCCGCTTGAGGTCGATCGCCTCGCTGGTGACTTACAACGACTAGCAAAATTTCAGCAGCAATCAACGAAACACTACGGCTTCTTGTAATTTATGTCAATTACCGGGGCAGAATGTTTTCGAATCAGAAACTGGCGAGATTACTAAAATCTGCGCTTCGAAGCAGCGTTTCCCATGCGCCTGACACGTCCTAGATGAGCCTTTTTACTGTACATTGTATCTGTGATATTACTGTCAATGTATTCATGGATCGCTAGTTTTCTGAAAGGAATAATGAAAGCTTAATTGCCCTCAGGATGTGGTGGCGACACGATGTAAGCGGAAAGTGTACTTAAGTTTGTTTGTTGCTATTCTCCAAATTCCGAATTTTGTTTGCTTTTATATTTTCGGTCCATTAAGCAAAGCAGGTATTTTTCAAATTCGGAAAATGAGGCACACTTCCTCTCCCTCATTATTTCGCTACCAACATAAACTTCACAGCGGAAAAAAATCTGAGTTTGAAAAAAAAAACGAAACTGAGCTAGAAAAACAAGTTTAGCCATAAAAAAAATATTACTTCAAGCAGCGAACCGTTAATTTTTAACAAAAATTGGAAATGTTTGATGAATGTTTTTTACATCCTGACATGAAATTGGAAGCACCATGAAAGATAGTCTCACTCTGCACTAGATGAGCGATCTGCAAAATTTCACTGCGACCACGGAGAAAGTAAAATTCAATTATAAGGACAAGTTGCTCGGCTTGCTGACAGCTGGTGGAAGTCGCGCATTAGTGAGTGGCACCCGTGAAATGAAGAACGACCAATCGGGAGGCTTCCGAAGAAATGGGGCTCATACACTGAACAGACGATGAGTACCAACTGAAGGTGTGCACTAGGATTGAAGGGCTTAACGTATTCTCGCCCGGCGCCCAAGAGCATCCTAGTAACATCACTAACTTGAAATAATCACACTGATATCCAGCGATTCTGAAAAGAAAGACGCTCTTTTTATTAGACGAGATAGTAAATTTGAAACGATGCGCAACTTCAAATCCTGGGTAAAAATCTTATATGTGCCCACTTGGAAATGGCTTGTTAAGTGGATCGTGTTTTTAATATGAATTTTAAAGGCTCCAGGATTTGTTTTAGGATCGTTTGTTCGCAGTTTGCAAGCCATTCATTTTCCACTGCA